AGCAAATGGTATGGAATCCATACTGCTGAATATGTAGATGCAGTTCTGTCATACATGACATTTATTATTCTGAGGTTTATTTCTTCTGTACCTAATTTATGAAGAGTTTTATCATGAAAGAATGTTAAATTCTGTCAAGTGCTTTGGCTACACCTACTGAGATGATTATGTAATTTCTATCCCTCATTCTGTTAATGTAGTATATAATAATAATTGGCTTCCATATGTAGAACCATCCTTAAATCCTCGGAATAAATTTCACTTTACCATAGTGTATGAGCCTTTTAATGTAATGTTGGATTAAATTTGCTCGTGTTTTATTAAAGATATTTGCATCTATGTTTATCATGAATGTTGGCCTATAATTTTGTTTTCTTTCTGGATTTAGTATCAGAGAATGCTGACCTCATAAAGTGAGTTTAGAAAGCATTCTATCCTGTTCAATCTTTTGAAATATCTTGAAAAGCATTGTCATAATTTTTTTAAATGCTTTCAAACTTTACCAATAAAGCCATCTGGTCCTGGGATTTTCTCAGTTGAAAGAATTTTGATTACTGCTTCAATCTCCTTATTCATTATTGGTCACCTCAGATTTTCTATTTCTTCATTATCCAGTCTTGATAGATTCTATGAATGTATATGTTTATTCTAGATCATCAAGTTCGTTGGCATGTCATTTTCATGGAATCATTATAATAGCTCTTCACTTCCTTGTGATTTTATTTATTTGATCTCTCTCTCTTTCCTTGGTTAGTCTAACTAAAATTTTGTTGACCTTTCCAAAATACAACTTTTAGTTGTGGTCTTTTCAACTGCTTTCCTAGTTTCTATTTCATGTATTTCTGCTCTATATTAATTCTCTCCTTCTGATAATTTTAGGTTTAGTTTGTTCTTTTTTTAGTTCCTTAAAGCGTTCATTAGGTTATTTATTTTAGATCATTCTTTTTTCTTAATGTAGGCAGTTATCAGTATAAACTTCACTCTTAGAACTGGTTTCGCTACATCCCGCAAGTTTTGGTATGTTATATTTCCATTGCATGGATGGGTGTGGCTCCTGCTGGGTCACTGGGCAGGCCCCTGAGCGAGCAAGACTGGCCCCAGACCATAGCTGAGAAGGGCTGGAGCCAAGTCACAAGGCTGCTTCAGGATCCACAGTAGAACTGAGCCAGCCCTCAGGAAACACGGGAGTGTCTTCCCTTCCCCACTCCACCATTCTTTAGGTGAACATTACTCTCCCAGACCCTGGTTGAGAGACTGGAGCTGGGTCCCAGGCTGCTTTATGATCCACAGACTGACAAAGGTCAGGGGCCCATTCTTAGAGAAATGAATGGGCATGGTTTCTTCCAGGTCCCTTGACTCTACAGATGGTGCTGGTGACAGAATTGGGGTCAAATGGGACTGTAGCCAAGTCCCTCGGAGTACTGGATTGTTTCTGTAGCCTGGACCATAGATGTCAAACCTGCCATCTGGGTGCAGTTCTACTTTTCAAAATGGCCCTTTAGTCTTGGGCTCCACCAATTTTGCAACCTCCTACCTGGTTCTCAAAGCTCCCACAGAGGCAATCTAGCCATTGGATGGCTGCCAAATCTTTGCTCCTAGTGGGGCATACAACTCACCCTTGTGGATTTTCCACCTCTCCTGTGATTCATCCCTACCTCTGCCAGTCATAGAGCTGCCCAGGGATCATGGAACCTCAAACCTCCTACTCTTTCCCTGTCAGTCTCACCCAGGTTTCCTAAACTTCCTAGACTGAGATTATCTAGTCTTATCTGCCACATTCCAGGTGTTCTCTTGCATAAACTATTAATAAACAATATGTGACCAACTTCTGAATTAAGGAGATCATCCTTAATCAATTCACCTATGCCTCAGAAAACTCTATAGCAATAGACAGGTGCCGTGGCACATGCTTGTAATCCCAGCTACTCACAAGGCTGAGGCAGGAGAATCCCAAGTTCCAGGCCAACCTCAGCAACTTAGTGAGAGTGCCGTCTCAAAGGCTGGGGATGTATCTCATAGCTGAGCACAATTTCCAGTGCTGAAAGAAGGAGGAGGAGGAGAAGAAGGAGGAGGAGGAGGAGGAGGAGGAGGAGAAGGAGAAGAGAAGGAGGGAAAAGAGGAGGAGGGGGACAATGAAGATGAAAGAAAAGAGAAGGAAAGAAAAGTACCACAGCCGATATTCACAGTTGAAATCAGTATGGTATTTAAAGTATTCCTTTAAAATTGAGGCATTAAATCTTTGTGTAAGAAAATAACTCTTGACTCATAACACTGTATGAGAAAATTAGATCTGACTTACATCACTTCCTCTAACAAAACATTTTGGAAGAGTACTGCCTGTCTTAAAAACTGACTATATTTGAAAAACATTCGTGTGCTTTTTCTTCTGACATTTATATTCTCTAAAGTATTTCTAAGCAAAATACCTATTATAAGAAGTAAAAAAAAAAATTAAAACTAGTTATGAAGTGAAAAGCACACCAGTAAAAAGATCACTTTTACCAAACCACGTCACTGTGACATAGAAGTTAAAAAGTCAGATTTGGAGGTGAAAAAACATGACTATACAATACATTTAACTCTGAAGTTTCAGAATAAAATTCAAACAAACCCATGTAAATATTTTTCACTATCATCAGCTCTATCATTAATAACAATATGGTTTCCTTTTATATGGCAATCCTTAAAATTCAATTTTAAATTATTGAATGTTTTCCTTTTTATAATGAATATATTTATTTTGTGCTTCCACCTAGAAGAAAAAAAATAATTGAGAATAGCTATATTTTATAAACAAACAAGAGATTCTAAACTGATGCTGAAACTCATTTTGGAAGTCAGCCTAGCCTCAGGCTGATAGTCAGATCGGGATTTATCTACATGCAGTCTGAAATTTTGATAAGTGAGGGTGTCGAGACTAACATACTAAAGCAAAGTACATGAGATTCGTATGTGTATTCATTTATGCACTTGATTTTACAGTTTCTAAGCATAATCAATGTCAGGTAATTTCTCATTTCTCGGTATCATACATGGTATAAAGGAAAGACCAGAATGCTAGATTTCCAAAAGCAGATATCTTGTTTTATCCAGGACTTCTCCTTTCACGAGATACGGTGCTATCAACTTCAATTTAGAAAATAGTTCGACTGTTTCCAGGTTGGTGAAGGCACATTCCCCAACTTCCTCCAACCCTGGAGTTCCCCTTGGAAAATGTAAAAAAAAAAAATTTGTTTTGCCTTTAATGCCCTGAAACCAAAGTAAATAATGCTACTATTTCATATCCTAAATTCCTCTTCATGCGTTATCATCAGCATGATAACTGTGAGTGGATTTTACATGCAGGCTGCTCTAACCTGTGACACAAGGAGAAGGAGCCTGTATCTAATTAATCAGCATGGGCTCCCTCTACTGGTGAGTGGTGAAGACAAGAGCCCCTGAAGAACAACATGGGTGTAAATTTTTTTAAAAAGGAATTTTTATGCAAATGAATCAAATACAAAAATCATCAAAAGTTTCCAGACTTTTGAAGAGCCCTGGGATCTGCTTTTGCCTTCTTGATAAGCTAGTAAGTTAGCCTGTGCTACATTTTGTATCTTAACATCCCCGCAAAAGTCCATGTGCTAAGAGTTTGGCCCCCAGTATGGCACCGTTAGGAGACAGTGGAACCTTTAAGAAGTAGGGCCTAGGGAGAAGTCTCTGGTTGACTGGGGTTCACTTGAAGGGGACTGTGGGCTGCCAGTGTCTTCCCCTCTCTCTTGCTTCCGTGCCATGGGGTGAGCAGTTTTGCTCCACCATATATCCCTGTCATAACATGCTGCCTAACCACAGCTCCCCCCGCAATACAGGGCAAGTTGATCATAGACTGAAATCCCCAAAACTTTGAACCAAAATATACCTTTCCCTTTATCAGTTAATTATGTCAATTATGTCACTGTAGTGACAGAAAATTGACAAACACAGCCCATGTTCCATGGTTGATGGTGGAAGACATGAAACTCCTGGATCAGAGACACGGATTTTATCACTCAGGCCATGCCACACAGTAGGAACATTTGCATGCATACTCCAGTTCCCTTCACCCCCAAACCCAAGAATTCACACGGAGAGTCCCAAATGGATGTTTTACACACAACAGTTTCAGCTCACAACTTAGGAACGCTGAGCTTGGGGAACCCACTATTGTTATGGCAAACAATAAGCAAGCCCACACTTTATCTTGGAGGGGAAAACTTACTCCACTCCCTTGCTCACTGCAAAGATAGCAGCCTAAGAACTGGCCCATCGGAAGAGCAGTCGGGGCCTCACGTTCTTGGAATGCGTGGCAAGACTTGTAGAAGTACGAGAAACCCATGGGGAACTTTCCCAGTAAAGACTTTTTGATTATTATTGCTAATGAAGTTTCAAATACACTAAAATCACTGCAGAATATCTTTCTTCTTGATTTTGTAGATGATTTCTTTTTTTTTAACTCTCTACCAAGTTGTCGGTTGCGCCTATTCCTCACTATAGAAGTAAAATTTCACCACCTTTCTTTTTTTTTCCTTTTTTTATTTTTTTTTTTTTCACCACCTTTTATTAAGGAGTAATGGGGAGTTTCTAGACTCACCGGCGAGCTGCGTGCGGCCCGGCAGCTGAGCTGCTCCCTTCCGCTGAGTGGGCAGCCTGGTGGTGGGAGACTGAGAGAAGACTTGAAACCGACCCTTCTTCATATTTTCCCCTTCGGCTGGACCACCCCGAGCTGCGGGACGTACTTCCAGCGTCTCTCAGTGGACGATTAGAGAGCACAGAGGCCTCTGGAGGCGCAGCGGCAGTCCCTCCCGCTCCCAGCCACGGCCTCTGACTCTCAGAAGACAGCCACCCGCTGCAAATTTTTCTCTGGGCCGGAGACCCGGCCGCCCAGTTCGTAGAAAGATGGGCAGCTCTCAAAAAAGACACAAACAGCTGAAGGATGGATACCATTGCATATATTAAAAGCCTGTTGAAAGAAAAATAAGGAAGCCAGGACTCTCAGGATGAATCTGTCTAGATCCAGATCAGGTGACGGTGGTGAAGACCATAATCATCGTGAAAATGAGAGAAGATGGCAGCAAGAGCGTCTCCATAGAGAAGAAGCCTATTATCAATTTATTAATGAACTCAATGATGAAGATTATCGACTAATGAGAGATCATAATCTTTTAGGCACCCCTGGAGAAATAACATCAGAAGAACTACAACAACGGTTAGATGGAGTGAAGGAACAACTAGCATCGCAGCCTGATTTGAGAAATGGGACAAGTAACAGAGTTTTAGGTGGACACAATATCTTTATTTTACATTTATATGGTGCTGAGGATCGAACCCAGTGCCTCCTGCATGCTAGGCGAGCGCTCTACCACTGAGCCACAACCCCAGCCCAAGAATGCATTTTATTATGTATAACAGCTGACATTTATTGAGTGCTTCTTGTATGCCAGACTCAGAAGTCCCTCGAGAAAGTTCAAATGAAGATTCTCTGCTAGAATGGTTGAACACCTTTCGTCGCACAGGAAATGCAACTCGAAGTGGACAAAATGGGAACCAAACTTGGAGAGCTGTGAGTCGAACAAACCCAAACAGTGGAGAGTTTTGGTTTAGTCTGGAAATCCACATAAATCATGAGAATAGAGGATTTGAAATTAATGGAGAAGATTATTCAGGCATTCCACTTTCAGATATTAGCAGGGATCATACTAGCAATAGGCAAGAAAGATCAACTAGTCCTGTGGCTAGGCGAACAAGAAGCCAAACCTCCATGGATTTCAGTGGTAATAGTTCCACCATTACAAGGACAAGGCTTGGTTCAAGGGGGCAGAATTTAGTTGAAGGATCACTTTCAACACTGGGAAGGTTAAGGAATAGAATTGGGCGGGCAGTTGGCATTCCTAGAACTAGTGCTTCGCGTGCTAATTTTAGTAATCACACAAACCAATCAGTTGGTAGTGAACTCAGGCAAAGGGAGGGGCAGAGATTTGGAGCAGCACATATTTGGGAAAATGGAGCTAGAACTAATGTCACAGTGAGAAATACAAACCAAAGATTAGAGCCAATAAGATTACGGTCTGCTTTCAGCAGTCAAAGCCGTTCACCAATTCAGAGACAGAATGGCACTGCCTATCATAATTCCCAAAGGGAAAGTAAACCTTTGCAGCAAACAATTAGAAGGTCTGTGAGGAGGAGAGGTATAACTCGGGTCTTTGTAGAGCAAGATAGAGAACGCAGAGGTACTGTAAGTGCCCCATTCTCTAATTCAAGACTTGTGTCAAGAATAACAGTAGAAGAAGGAGAAGAATCCAGCAGATCCTCAACTGCTGTACGATGACATCCAACAATCACACTGGATCTTCAAGTGAGGAGAATTCGTCCTCGAGAAAATAGAGATCGGGATAGCATTGCAAATAGAACCCGCTCTAGAGTAGGGCTAGCAGAAAATACAGTCACTGTTGAAAGCAATAGTGGGGGCTTTCGCCGAACTATTTCTCGTTTAGAGCGGTCAGGTATTCGAACCTATGTTAGTACCATAACAGTTCCTCTTTGGAGGATTTCTGAGAATGAGGTTGTTGAGCCATCCTCAGTGGCTCTTCAGTCTATTTTAAGGCAGATCATGACTGGGTTTGGAGAATTAAGTTCTTTAATGGAGGCTGAGTCTGAGTCAGAGATTCAGAGAAATGGTCAGCATTTACCAGAGATGCATTCAGAACTGAGTAACTTAGGTACAGTTAATGAAAACAGCCAGCTCAGTGAAGGTTCCTCTCAAGACAGGGAAGCCCAAGAAGACAGCACTGAAATGCAAGCTGAAAATGAGACCACCCAGCCTCAGACTCAAAACAGTGACAGTAGAGGAGGCAGGCAGTTGCGAAATTCAAACAATTTAGTTGAAACTGGAACACTACCTATTCTTCGCCTTGCTCATTTCTTTTTACTAAATGAAGGTGATGATGATGATCGAATACGTGGTTTAACCAAAGAGCAGATAGACAATCTTTCCACCCGGAACTATGAGCATAATGGTATTGATAGTGAACTAGGTAAAATCTGTAGTGTTTGTATCAGTGACTATGTAACTGGAAACAAGCTCAGGCAATTACCTTGCATGCATGAATTTCACATTCATTGTATTGACCGATGGCTCTCAGAGAATTGCACTTGTCCAATCTGTCGGCAGCCTGTTTTAGGATCCGGCATAGCAAATAATGGGTGAAATGATGGGATCTATTCAAATATTGTATTTTAATAGAGATGACTATTGAAGCATTCTTTTGTTGAGTTATTTGTGATGAGCTAACCAGGATGAAAAATAACAGATTATAGTTTGAACTATTTTTTGTGTGCTTTTTTAACTTGTTAAAAAGAGGAAATTTATATGAAATTTAAAATGCGAATGTTAAATTATCCAAAAGTCCAGAATAGTTAATATTGCTAGAACCAAATAACCTTTAAAATGTTTTTATTTTGGTAATTTTGTCATGCTAAGCACTTTTGTATCTGCACAATTCAGTAAGTTGAAAATCAGTCTTATTGTTAATACTACAGCAGACTTTTCTTGGATTTTTCAAGTTTCATAGGCTTAGTACTAAGTCAAGACATTGGTGTCTAAGCCTTTGAAAGAATGTTTGGCTGAATGTTTGCTAAATATAAATATTTAAGTTACTTGAAATGATAATTTAATACACAGTATACCTTGTGTGTGTATGTAGATAGATAGATAGATAGATAGATAGATAGATAATTTTAAGATTAAAATGTCCAGTCTAAAAACTACAAGTTTGATTCTTATTTAAGCTTTTGGACTAATACTACATATGGCACAATGTTTACTATTGACAAGATCATCTCTGAGAAGATTAAGATATAATTCTGAAGTAAAGATAATTTACTGAAGCATCTCTGACAATCTGACTTACTAGATAGCAAGCAATATTAATACTGAACAAGTATTTTTTATTCAGGAATGGGACATGGAAAATTTAGGTCATATAGATTATTTAACTTGAGTTCAGCCTTTTTGTGACTTTTTTGGAAGTGCAAATAATTCTTTGGATTAAGTATAAGGTATACAAGATGCATGGTTTTTTCAAATTTAGATTTTAAAAAAGTCTATTATAAAGAATCAAATGCATAGATAAAATGTTAAGTTCACTTGGAGGTCAAAAAACTCCAAAGAAAACAAGAAGAAACCTTAAGAGAATGTAGAATTTCTATAAAGACAAAGTATGCATTGAAGATCTATTTCTACCAATAAATATTAAAACAAAGAAAAAAAAGGAGTAATGGGTCTATTTGCTTAAACAGAAAATGCAGATAAATGAGCACCAATAGTCCCCATAGTTGGGAAATTTTAAAAACTAAAATTACCCCGATGTGAGGTTCCTTGTTTATTCATGAATACTTTCCAGAGTCTCTTGAAATAGTCAGGGTTATAGAATTTCAACTGGGATTGAGTATTACAGAATGGCAGGAATCCACAGATAAGCCCTTAAACTTATAGCATCACAGAATTTAAAGCCTTAGGGTTAGACAGAAATCAATTATAATATTTTGACAGCTGGATTTTATGTTCTTATTCTAGCATTAGCCAAAAATCTCCTACCACCACAGTGTTACAGCTTTAAATCAAGAAGTGGTCAAATTTCCGCAATTGTTATAAACATTTCTGCCTTGCATTCACAGCACACTTGACCATCTCTAAAGTGTTTTCACACACTTTCTCTCTGTTGTACCTCAGTCTTACTATGAAGCTTGAGTAAAAAAAAAGATTTAGCCACCTCCATTTTACTGCCTCGGAACCATAAAGCAGACCAATCATAAGATACTTCTGACATGTGCTGCCAATCGCTAAAGAGGCAGGGTTGCATCTGACTTGGAGCTGTTTCCAGAACCCCTTGCTTTCTTCTTATCCACGGTATCTCCCTATGCCATCAGCTAAGAGGCTGCAGCCAGTCAATCACAGAAGACCTCCCTCAGACTTACTTAAGCTACAAGCTTTTAGCTCTCATGTCTAAAAAAAAAATGTCCAAGGAGAGTCAGGCTTCAGCTGAGGACTGATGGGGGTACCACCTGTGTCTGCTGTCCTCTAAGCATCTATTTCCTCCCCAGGATGACCTGACTCATTATCATAAGTTGCCTACCCAAGTTCCTTATCCAACACCCACCAATCACTCAGACTCAAGACCTGTCATTCCCTCAAACATCAAAGAAATTTCTTAAGCATCCTTCTAATTAGACCAACAGAAACAATCATTTTCGGGCGGGGGCGGGGGGATGTCAGAGATCCCAAGCAGCAGCCCCAACATCCAGTACACTGATATTCTGAAAAGTGTATGCTACGCAAAACTCATTCTGCAACAAGCTTTATGTGAATAACTTGTTAAGCTTTAACTGTCTCTGGAGCTGTGCAATAAATAAATGCAAGGCTTTGCATGAATTAGCTCATTTATTTCCCTAGATCTTTGAAACAACTTTGAAACAATCTTATAAGCCAGGTGATATTATTATACTCCTTTTATAAAAGATGAAACCAAGACTTAGATTCAAATAACTTGCCCAGTGCCACCAACCTCCCCAGTGGGAGATCCTAGATTCAAACAGACAGGCTGAGCCTGGAGTTCACATATTCACCCAATAGAGCAGGCCAACCCATGGGAAAAGGAAAAAGCAATAGACCTATGACTACACAACTTTGGAAGTCCTGCATACCATATTCCCCTCTTGGAGACTCACAGGGCACATTAGATAAAGAATGTTCTGAGTCATTCTGTAGTAAAGAAACCTATTTAACCAGCTTAACTTCATATTTCCCAAACTCAGCTGAGTTTTGGAGCTTCTTTTGTTTAATACTTCCAGAGAACAGCCTTCAGGGTCACACACCCAGCAGTCCATCCATTTATCCATCTTCAGTGAAATCTCTGACGTTATGACTCTATTAATAAAATTCATGATAAATAAGCTCTTTTTTCCTTGGAAAAACCTTCATTTGCATCTTTTAGCTTTGCATTTGCAAGTTCAGTCAAGGCTAGGGTCTGGCAGTAGCGCTATCTTGCACTGGCCCTGACTTACCCAGCAACTGTAATCAACGGGAGTTCTCTGTGGATCAGAACAGCAGTGATCTCCTCATTTGGCATATCTTTTACTTCTAGTACATTTCTAAGTGAGAGTGTTTGGACACTGAACAAGATGAGGTTTGATAAGACAAAAATAGAGTAGCACTAGTACGTCTGAGCCCAACATTTTAAAGAATTACACTGGAGAGCTCGCTCAGCCTTTGGTATCTTTAGTTTATCCTTGCAGATGTTTCTTGAGAAGAGAGAGGAGAAGGCACTACTGATCATTGGGTAGTTCTGGGCTCTTTGGCTGGGAAAAGTGCAGAGCGCCACCTCTTGTCTGAAGTTATTTCATTTCCCTGAACTTTCTATGATTCACACATCAAAGCCTCTGGCTCCAGGCTTCTGACTTGATGTCTGAAAATCTGACTCAGGCAGAGTCTGTCTTCATTTCCTTGTATTTTATGAATGTGTCTTGTCCACGAAGTCAACCTTCAGTCAATTAATTATTGCCGTTCTGGGTCATTGGCTACCCTGGTATAATTCTCAGGCTGCTTGTTTTTGCAAAACACACAACTGGAAAGAGGTTGTTTTCATTTGAGTCCAAAGAAGTACGAGGGAATCACTCATGCCAAGGCTATTTTGAGCTGAGGGTAGGTAACATGCTGTGCAGCAACTCTGACCATGCCTTAGGCAAGGGTGCAATGCACAGTGAGGAGTCTCTGTCCCCTTCTAAGGGCAACTTCACAACCATCTTGATGTGGTCACTTTGTATGCACAAGCACTGTCTGCATTCTTCTCAGTATTGCCTGAGAAGAATTCACCTACTGGCACTTCCACTATACTGACCAGGAGATGCAGTTGAAACCACAGTATTGTTTCCTTCTTCTGAGTGTAGAAAGAAAGTCTTAGCATAATTGTCCACCAGCAACTTGTGATCATTGACCAGGAAGTTCTCAATCTCAATATGACACAGAGATTTGCACTGTTTGACTTGGCCTCACCATTAGTCACTGTCCTGGGAAGGCGATTACTGGTTCTAGAGAAAATCTGTTCTTTTCAAGATGTGTCAAATTACATGTGTCATTCCAGACAGGGTGCCAAAAGCTATAAGCACTTGTGCATGGTTATTTCTCTCTTCTCTCTAGTTTCTACCCGAGAAGAGCACAAATAATGCCCTCCATGCCTATTAGGACGTCATTACTCCCCCTCAGCCACTTTCAAATATCATAATTCCATCCTCATCCTGACTTACTTGGCCTGAGTCAGGGAAGAAGAATTTGGGGACAGAAACCCAACATTTTTCCTTTAACACTTCAGGAATTCTAGGTAGATATGTCTTCCATTATGCTGCACATTGAGATCCATTGGCTTTGCAGCCATCCTAAAAATAGACCCATTTATTTTATTTGTTTTCCTCTTAACCATCAGCAGATTTTGTGTCCTTATATTTTTCTAAGTATCAGGACCCCAGGGTTGGTGATGTTTGCAAAACAAGGCAGTGGCCAGGAGCCTCACCAGCTGAAATGGATGTATCTGATGGCAAGTGACTCACTCACTTCCTATGGCATAGCCATTCTCTTGCATCACCTTTTTATCAGAGGATCTACTCTGTTTTCTGGGAGTCTCAACCTGGCTACAATGGAGAATTAACTTCCTAAATCTGTGTCCATGGGATTCGCTGTGATCAAAGAAGCAACATTTGAAATGATCTGAGAGCACGTAGGTTAGGGAAACCCACAGAAAGACATCCAGGAGGCTTAGAAGTTTAGATCATCATTTGGCCTCTCAGATCACCGTCGGGTTTGGTACTATCTCTGAAGAAGGTATGGTGCAGTCCCAAGTCTGTGCGGCTCTCTGAATGAGCCAATAATTTTACCTGAAATGTTACCAACTCTCCTCAAAACCCTTTTACATGGATAGATACTAACACTTGTTATATTTCTCTACTGCTACATAGAATTTACCCACGTGATGGTCAAACCTATCTAGTGAGTTGACCTTGAAAAGTTGTAAGGGAAGAGCTAAAAGTAAATTCTTCTTCTTCTAGAAGAAGAATGCCTGAGTTTGTGTCCCAGTTCTGTCATTTCTAAGGGGTGTGATCTGGAACAAAGTTATTTAGCCCCCATAAGCCTGACTCCTCATACATAAAGTGGGAATAAGAGAAATATGGTTTCACAAGATCGCTGAATTAACAGTTAATGCAGGTGAGATACATCACCAAAATGGCCACAGCCTTCCACCCTTCCCCATATC